GGGGGGGTGTCATTGTGATACCATGTTTTTAATTTATGTTATTATTTATCCAAAGACCGTATATTACAAGATATTTCACTCCGCCATAAAAATGTCCGCGGAAGTTGGCGCATTGGTTCAGATGGCCTTGCAGTCTTTGTTTTGAAGCTCTCTTTCGTTTCTCCAGAAGAAGAATAGGAATGGCACAGTTTGTAATTTTCAGTTTTATTGTTTTTCACACAAGTAGGGTAACTCTGATCACAAAGTCCGCACTTGTTCGAATTTTGAGGACACTTTTTTAATTGGCTCAAAGAGAGGAGTGAATTATTTTGTAATACACGATCTTTGATTTATCTATTATTTATTTCTTATTATTTATAAACCAAGAGACAAGCCAAGCTGCGCACATCAATAAAGCGATTAACTGTTCCGTTATGTGGCAAAATGTTCTCTGCCAAAATTGGTCTCAGCGACCACAGCAGAAGCCACATGTCATTTTAACCTTAAATTCTTCCAACTCTTCGATTTTGCTGAAAGAATATTTTCCCCTGCCGATGTTTTAGTCCACGTCATGATGATGATACTATGTTCCTGATGAAGCTTTTTGGCGAAACGTTGAACATCCAGGCCTATACGAACATCTGATTAAACGACACCAACCCTATTCAAGTCTCAAGTGTATTTTTTTTTCTACTTTAAAAGATGATGATGATGATGATGATAATGATGATGATGATGATGATGATGATGATGATGATGATGATGATGATGATGATGATGATGATGATGAAGATGATAACGACGACGACGATAGTGGTTAGGCTACCGGACTCGTAATCGTGAGGTTGTCGGATCGGGGGTTCGAGCCACGGGCCCGACGTTGTGTCCTTAAGAAAGGCACTTTACACGAATTTTCCTCACTTCACCCAGGTGGAAATGAGTACCCGGCCATAGACAGCAAAAGATCTTGCCAGTATTAGAGTTTTAGCGCCTGTTAATGACTGCTTGCACTGTGTGCTTCCCAGGAAGTTTAGTTTGTTTCAGAATGCTCTCAGGTCTCCTGGGGTAATAGTATAGATTGTGAAACGCATAGAGCTTGTTGCTGAGCGGGGATTTGCGCTATACAAATGCTATCTATCTATTATTATTTATTTTATTATTAATACGAGGATCAAAAGGACCTTTACTCACAATATCTCTGTTCCTCCGCACAGACTTCTTGTCGATGTGTCTCCGGCTGTGGACGAATCCTGTCTTCGTCTCCGTCTCCTGTGCCGCCTGTTTCCTCTTGTTCGTGGTCAGCGGATCCTCTGCATACATGCCCAAGTATCTGGAGACTATCTTCGATCTGCCGGCATTCAAGGCAAACTACATTATGGGTAACTTACCCCTTTCTCCCCCCTTCCTTTTTAAAATTATGGCCACATACCCAAATATCTGGAAACCATCTTCGACCAGTCTGTCTGTTTGTCTTCGATCTGAATAATAATAATGATGATAATAACAATATTGTTCTAATCCAGAGTCTGAAGTGTACAGGTAAGGCTGAAGCTATTGACAATAATTCACAATCATTTTTTGCTTCTGCCTTGCTTCTACCGTATAATTCTATAGCATTTGTATAGCTACATGCCAACGTCATGTACATTATGGGTAACGTACTCCCCC